CTTCCGTCATAGAACGAACTGAGAACACCTAAGCCTCTATACCGCCTGTATCGAGGTCTGAACAGTTTCCCGCTATGCCGTCCGAGATTCTAAAACCAGAGAAAAAGACATAAATATGCTTCAACGCAAAAATGGGAAGATACTACCAATAGTGCACCATCGAAATGCACTTACCCACAACACTCCATCAACAATACTGCGTTTCGTGGTTTCCATTACAGAGGTCTGTTTCATTAATGGGTAGCGATGCATTACCCGAGACTAAAAACAGATTTCGATACATCAAACGAAAAAAAAACGGCAACAGAAAAGTTAGCTCTCACAATAGATCTGACGCCATCAAGAAGCGGACGATCAGGTCGGTTTACCTCAGGGTGGTCCTCTTCGGGTACAGGTCCGAGTGGAACCCGCCCAATAGGAATGTGTAGTCGGCCATCTCCGAGATCTTGAATTGTGTTGACGGTCAAAAATAAAAGTAACACGATGCTATTACCTACAATGGTAACTTACCCAAACGAGATATTCCGCCGTGAAAATCTTGGAAGTACCCCTGAAAATGATCACACTTCAGTCCGGGTTGAAGTTTGTTCTGAACCGAAAAAAAAGAGCAAACAAAAGTCAAAAATTCTACCCAAACAAGCATAGTTCAAAGAAGTCTTGTCTGAGAGTATTCACTTCCTCTTGACACAATAAACACCTCCCTCAATCTCTTGCTACCGGATATTTCAGGAAGATTCAAAGAAAAATACCTGCGTCAGCTTCCGGTAAAGGTACACTGGAGAGTGACATAACTGTTGCTAAAGGCCGTCCCTTTTTCGCATCTTCCTATAAGAGAAATAACATGAACTACAATATCGCAAGGGGAGACTGGAGATTACAATCCCGAACAGAGAAGTGAACTCAAAATCCCTGAATAATTAATCTAAACGAACTGAAGGTGCTTGCTTGCTGTGTGTCTTGTCATCATCCGCGGAGAATGCAAAAAAGAGATCATCAGCGTCTATGTGTTCTTGCGTAGACTGGAAAGAGAGTAAATTTTTTGGTTCTACAAACTTTCAACCCGAAGATTAAAACTCACCAACTTCGGCCTTAAGCTAGGTCCAGAAGGTTCCTTCTTGTAGTCTACTGCGCGAAAACCTTCTTCTACAGTAGCATATGACGATGGCTCCATCTCAACCATTTCGAATTGTTCATCATGTGGAGAAGTCGTACCAATCCCAGTCCGAGATCCTCTTCCAAGGTCGTTTGGCTGAAAACGCCTTGCAGGCGATTATAAACATTTATACTGCTAGGCCTCTCCCGTGAAAAGAAGTTCCTGTACTGAATAATATGGATTCTAACCTCTTGCTCGGAATATATATCACTCGCTGATTCTTCGATAATCGGTGAAGCAGTCCTATGAGTAACTTCCTCTCCAGTCATTCGTAAACCCGCGGGACCATCTATAGATGAAAGATGTAAATGTAAAGTAAATGCAGTCAGAGCAGGGAAATCGATATCGAGCATTGTATAAAAAAGACCTTTAGCGCGATCCCGGTAACGTTTTAGCCAAGTGACCACAGCGTGGCCTAATAGTCAGCCACACCCTTACATAGAGAGACCGGTACTGTTCGATTAATTCAGCATTTTTTACAATTGGTTCACATTCGTTGAGCCAAAGCGTGAGGTACAGTACAAGGAATATCTTGCTGCACCGTTTTTAGAGGAATGAAAGCACTGAATTAACTAGCCCTTTCACTTTTTCCGCGTCGTACCTTTCTCATTGGACGTACTGTTGAATAATTAATAGGTTCCCAAAGGCACTTCAGGAATAGATTTTTTATAAAACGATCAGCAATCTTACTTACCTAATTCGGTGATTGTCCGTGGAACCGGTTCGCTAGCTTGCTGAATCTCCAGAGAAGCGGATGAGCCGGCTCTATCGGGATCCACTGCATCCACATCAAAGGAATGCCTTGAAGAAAGACGAACACGGTGCATGCGTTGGCTGTCGACCACGCCTCTAAACACATACCCAATATGAAGGCCAAGGCATCTACAAATACTCCCTCACCGTTTTGCCACACTTGCCGCTGAACCGTAAGCCACACGAGCAGCTGATTCGCGCCTTTCCGAACGGGGACGAACGACATGTGAATCGCTAACTTGGCTAAGGCTGCGAGCTATCGAGGCTGGAGTGGTGCCATCATACGTGGACGAGCCTGCACCAGAGCCATAAGGGAAAGAGAACGCCTGAATTGAAAGGCATTGATCATGAGCAGAGTGAAATGGAACCTGGAGGAAAGAAACCTGGTCAACACGTCCATATTGATGAGACTGACTCCAGTCGGTTTCAGGAGAAGAATGACCTGGGCCATCAACGGTGTCATAACGCACAGCACACAGTCAGGTTCTATAGCAAACCCGCGCTGAAACCAAAAAATGGCTTTAACAACCGACCTGGGAGAAGGGAGAATATGTGAGTTAATAACCTAAGAGGCATGTCGAAAGCAACGATTACTAAAGCACACTGCAAAAACAATTACATGTCATAGGTTTGAGTATTAAAACCATTAATAACCTGGCCACTTCGTGTATGTATACGTCTCGATAATTTCATATTTTCTAACACAATATACTTCTACAGTTGATTAGGGAAGAAGACAAGCAAAAAAGCATAATATTCAGGAATGAAAAAACCACCTTCGTTAAGAGCTCGGTGTTGATTGAGGCTGTACTTTTTTGCCAGAAACCGTAACCGTTTCGATCCCCAGTTACGTCGCAAGTCATCTTCAGAGTCATTCCAACCGACAAAGTTTGCTGAGCCATTCAACGCCATTTGAATCCTGAGTAACAAAACTTTATGTTAAATAAGTAGAAAATTGCATCAACGAAATCAGTGAGAAGCGAAGGCAGGGTAGCTATAATCATGAGGAGACGGCGAAGTTTAAAGTGACGATATCATATAATCTGCGAAATGTACAGAGTCCAGAGCTAGAACCAAACACGCATCGATTCGATTGATTTCGAATCCAATGCGGAATTAGCGAACTTTGAGAACTCGCTTCCAGTTACTACGTGAGGTTGAAGTCGTATAATTTATACGCCTTCACCGCCGGTCTTGAGGTCCATACGCTAACAAAAACTAGCAGAACACTCTCGAAGATTACGGGCTACTGGAGCACGGTAACATACATTGCCATTCTTGTGATGCTCAAGATCCGCAAGAGTGTTGGTGCCAGTTTTCACAAGCATTCATCAAATATAAGCGCTGCGGGGGACGAAACTCGAACATCCTTCACTTCTTTCTATGGAAACGGCAAAAAAACTCATTTTCATCTATTGAAGGTGACCCAGGATGGTGTTATAATGTGAACGGGATGGTTCGCTAGAGCAGAAAGCGAAATTTTCGCGCTGCAAAACGCGAAAAAGTTGATTCCTGTCCTTGCGGACTACACCCATGTAAATGCTACGGGTACTGAAGGTCATATCGCCGACAAATATAACAAGACAATAAATAAATAAGTAAAGATAAGTGGTCTTAGACTTTTTATTAGTGACGATACGTTAAGGGCAAAAAGGAAGTCAATCACCCATTTCAACTCATGGTACACATTTATAAGGCGAAAGAAATGCAACAAAAGCACTCACTGGCTTTGTCCGCGGTTCAGCGGTGGTCTTGTGTTAACGCGATTGCTCGCCGCGGTAGGCAAGGACTGTGCCGACGTTTCGCTCTGTAAATAATCAATTCGCGATCGCGATGTAGGCTAACAATAGTGCGCTTCCCGAGTATCGTCTGGAACTCGTTCACTGCTTTTCTGTTGGAGCATTATGACATGGTAAATTAAGGTAAGAAGATTTAAAGCATACGACTTCAAATAAAAGTATATTCAAAACATTAGGAATGTTCACATCCATAATAAGTGAATATATGCACATTCGAGTTCACTACAAAAATTAACCACAGGTACTGCTGATTCCCAAAATCTATAGATCAGAATATATCATGCCTTATGTCTAACTTCTTGAGAAATTGAATATGCCATCCGTTACCACCACAGAAACTCACCCCACGATGATCATCGAGCTTCTTCTCATCTTCAGTTTTCCTAACAATATGTGTGAGGTGCGTAGGTAGACTTTGTGAGAGAAAGGGTTCGACTGCTGTGCCTGTTGTCGGAGTGGCAATGGTAACAGTCGTTGCCAAATCTTTTGACTGTTGAGGCGTTCCAGCCATTACACATACTAAATTTGCTTCAGTTATTGATAAAGAAAAAGTGTGGACGAATTACAATTGGAAGAATCAATGAAGTTATACGTGCATTCACATCAAAGCGACAGTTAAATGCTTTTCACGAACGAAATAGTACCTGCTGCGGTCGATCGAAATGGTTACGACGATCGTAAAGATGCAAATGTCTACGAATTTCCCGACGTAATCAAATTAGCTCGCGATGAGGGACAGGAAGAAGACCGCACTTATGCTCATAATGGGGGAAAACGATTATATGTATTCTGTCCCTGCACTCTAATCGTAAGGCGCTTCCTTAACGCCGTTTACTTTTTACTTTTTCTGTGAAGCGATATTGAAAACTTCACAAAAATGATGGGCTTGGGTACACAACGGAATTTTCATGTCTCAACAAACAAATGATGCCCTTCTAAGCCATATGAACGCTGGAAGGTTTTAGAAACTTCAACACCATGGAGTTTATGGCAACCAAATGAGTACCGAAAACGAAGGCATGGCCTACATCGGAGGATCAATGAATTGCTGGAAACTAAGCCCTTGAATCATATGAAGCCCTGAATTACAACGTCGAAGGTGCAACCATGAAAAGACGATGACGCAATTGAGCGAAGAAGAATGTGTTTCGAAAATCGCATCGCGCAAGTCGTGCAACTACCACGGGCAAACAGTGACAACGATCTCACGGACAGATACAAACACATCTTCTTTACCATGAAAGGTCAGTGAATAATATGGCATCCACTGAAGAGAAGCTAAGATTGCCCTGCCGAGAAAACTGAGGCTTGTGGTAAGTATGACAGCTGTTGAAAGTGTGAACTTCGAAAACAAAAGCTGAGTTTTTAGAATATTCAAACAATTCTGATTCCAGCAGCATTGAAACTTGAATATTACTGGAATCAGAACTTCTTCAGCTTTCTATAGATATTCCATATTCAGCGATAACAATATATGATATGAACTCTACTATATTTAGCCCAGAAAAATGGTGAAAGCGAGTTCTCAAAACCCTCTTTGGGAAGAAAGTGAATGAATTTAGAGCGCTGTGCTGAAACTGGTACAAACTGCTTACGATTTTCAAAATCTTTGAGATCCCAGATTGATCCGTTTTGAGCGAATTCAAAGCGCTCTTCGAAAATTAACATTCGTGATGATACAATAACAATGCTACATCTACATGTGTACAACACACCCCCCCCCCCCCAGAAAATTTAGAGCGCCTCCAGTCTTGAACGTGCTTACGAGAAGTCTTTCAGGAAGCCCAACCTCCTCGAAACTTGCACGATATAGGGGTGCGTGCATAGAAAACAGAACTGCCCATTTTTGCTGAGCGGCCCGGCGGCGAATACCAAAATAGGGGTGATGAAGTGGTCCGTGGTTCGAATCCTCGCAGTGACAATTTTTTGCATTTTGTGGGCGTTTCAAAATTCGCGAAAAATAGCGTCAAGGAAAGAACTTATATCATATCTATAATTAAGGCTATCACCAACCTTTATACGTAGACTTTGGCTGAAAAACTGTGAAGAAAGTTAAGAACGGCAGTTCCTCAAGAAGTTTTTCTTCGCTCCTTTTTTGGTATTCAGAGGGCCGTCAGGGAAAATAAACCACATTTCTGTGTTTCATGCACGTACCTATATTATGCAAAAGCCCGTTTTCCAGAAAGTTGGGAATTTCCTGGAAGACCTCCCTGGTTAGATTGCACGTGGGTGCTCGTTCAGATAAGAGCAAGGTACGTAAAAACTCACCAGCAGGTTCTCACGCCGTAAATCAACGTTGGGTCAGTAATGTTTTCTACGAAGCGTACTTTGTCATCTAAATTGCAAGATCCGGACCAGGAATTAGCGTCTGCCCATCAATGATGAGAAACTTGTCGATTGGCGCAGTGTGGCTCCGGGTGGGGGGGGGGGCAACCCGAAACATTGCGTCAGATGCACGAAAGCATTCAATTTTAGGATTAAGCTTCAAAGGAAAAGGGGGACTCCGTGCATGAGCAATTCTCATTACCTCTTCGCCGTTAGGCTTAGTTTATCTTTTTAACGTACATCCTACGGACTGGCCCCCGGAGGCACACTGCACCCAGTGATTTCACAGTGTTACGAATTATGGGTACCCGACAGGAGGGCCCATCGCGCGGCAAGAGGCAGAGTCAGCGGACGAGTCGCAGCGCGTGCTGTGCAATGTAGGACGTGCAATGGTACATTCCATTTAACTTGACGCGAAATCACTACAGTACGCACTGCGGCCCGTTCGCTGACCCTGACTTCTTGCCGCGCAACGAGCCTCTTGTCGGGTACCATATGAACTACACAAAGAGTGGGACCAATAAAATCGGCACCTATCTAATCCTTCCTGCGAATTTCGCACGCTCCGCAATGTCGCCTATGAATGACACTTCCCTACCAATGAACTCAAAACAAGCGGAAGGCATGGAAATTACATCAGGGTTCTTATCTGAGTGGTGAAGAAGCTCGTGTCTTGCTTAGAAAGGGAGGTAACGAACGTGATCAACAGTAGAGAACTGCAGGGTTGAAGACCTACAAATTCGCTCCCTCCGTTTGAAGCAAAAGAGTTGGTGAACAGTCGTATTTCAGGAACAGTTTACTGGGGAATGGAGGGGAAGAGGCATATTAGCGTCAGCAGAGACAGAACCCGTAACTGCCAGCTTGACAACCTCTTAGGTTTAGTGAGGCGACAATGAGACCTTCAACTTATTTACCCAATGTGGTCAGCATCACTGCACTAGGGGACCATACTAGACTGAAATGAAAAGAATGCTAATAAGTGAATTTCTGCTATGACGACAAAAAGATAGGCAGTCGGCAGTCTTCAAATTCCTGAGCGTCGCCCTTTTCTTGATAATTCTAAGCACTATAGTCACACAATATGTCTTCAGTTATGTTTGCTCGGTTTGCACATCTCATGACTCAGACATTAATCATTCAAAACATCGTTGCTCGTATATTGACTCATTCACGCTATCATCGACTCTTATCTGATACTCAAATGGATCAAAACATCTAAAGAGGACATTTTGAAATTGTCTGGCTAAGAGAATTAGGAACCACCTAGACTTATGAATGAAAGAGAATGAATACAATTCTGGCAAGCTTTGAGAACCATCAGAGAAATAAGACAGGCATTTATGCAACAAAAATTCTAAAGACTATAATTCATTCACTAAGACACATGAAAGCGAGCCGAAGAGGAACCACCTCACCAGCTATCCTTCAAAAAACACGAAAAAATGTTGTAAACATTCGTGACGAACGTGGCGAGAGGTCGTTTACAGCGGTCTAATCTTTGGGTTTGCGTAGCAGGTGGTGTTGCAATAGGAATCGACACGTTGAAGCCTGCACCCGTAACCTCTCCCCCCACCAATTCTACAACCGGTTTTCTTTTTGAACTCCAAAGCAAACAATCAAAACCAAGATATCTCGCTTGTCGTGAATTCACGCTTATCTCCATTACATTAGCCATCACTTGGATCACATCACAACACTCAACAATGAAGTAAACGCCATCGTTTCGAAATCACAAGTAATGTTTTTAGAGTGAAATTATTGTCAATAAGTAGGAGTTTTATCAGTTGTTTGACACCGAAACGTCAGTCCTTGTTGAAAAACATCCATCTACTACGGTAATAGAATTCTGACGATACATAATAATACATAGAGAATATGAAGTCGCCTGCAGAATAATACAACGAATCAGTTACCTCTAAACAAACTAACGAGTATCGCGAATAAAAACAACACGCAGATTGCGAGCCTTTCAAATAACCAATCGAAAAAGAACAACTAGACCAGCAATAAATAGCCTGTGTGACCAATCACACTTCTTCAGTGGAATAGGATTTACAACCTGGAAAGCATTCAAGGGGAAAAATCTAGACATGAATGCGCAATGATAGAAGCGAGACGCTAAGACGCCATCAGAAGTACACTGGAAATTTGAGCGGTGTGATGTTCTCGCCCAGAAAGCGAGTCAAGCGATTGATAGAAGGCCAAACTTAAAGTGGCGTAAAATAGAACTCAACTGCGAAAGATCAACGAGGCAACAATAATAAGAGCAAGTGTGTAAATGAATTATAGGCAACACAATGTAATGAAATAAAACTGAACATATGTAAATGCCACATATGTGAAATGAATCGGAATAAAATTTGAAACCCGTATCGTGGACGAAAACACCAGTACGAAAACATTGGGAATTTTAGTAGAGGATTATCGTGCCGAGAGGGGTGTGGGTGTACATAATGAGATTAAAGGGATGAACTGGAGCAATGACAATAGGAAAAACTCCAAATAACCGTATCAATCTTTTAGAGTTCTATCCGTAGGAAGAATGTTCATGACAACACATATGATGAACAACAAAATCATTTCCTCTTAGCTTTGTCCTCTGAAGATTTTTTACGACTTGCTTCGTAAGCAGCTAGATCGGTGTCACTGAGTGATTCATCCTTCTCCGGTTTCCAATGCGTAAACGAGCTAAAGACAATCAAAAACGTGGTTATCGACACATGAAGAACTTCACAAGAAATTCAAGTTCAAATTAATCTACCTGCACTCAAGCGGGTTCGTCCACGTCGGCTGTAGTTCCATTCTCGCACCGTTTTCACCTTTAGCGCTGAATATACATAGGTAAATGAAATTGTCCTCAAAGACTGGAGCAGAACACCAATTCTCTTTAAACTATGACTTCGGACCTTTTGATATTTCATTTTTTGTCGCATTTGAATGCTGGTCACACACTGCACACTCGCATGGTCATGCCATTAACAGAATGATCTCATGATTATCAATAGGCCACTGGTTTACCACAAGCGACAAATAAGGACAGTACTTCGCAAGTAGTACCATTTTTGATAAGCCGCATCATCAAAGCCTAGGCCCCAGACGCATAAAAGTGTTGGTAGTGAAGAGTTGGGTTTTGATGAATTTTTCATGTGTTATTCACCTCAGAATCGATGTAGTATTTTATGTAATTTGGAGGGAGCATATGATGAATAAAGAAGATTCGCTGTCAAAAAGACCAATGTTCCAATTGTCAGATGAGCTATGCCAAATCTAACCCCTTTTTCTTCGACATAAGCTGAACACTGCTTCAAATTACTTGCAAAGGGGGAGTATTGTTTTAAAAGTTCCTGGCGATTTACATAGCATTCTTTTTCACTGCTGAACCACACAGCACCTGCATTTTCATATTTGTGCCCCGCTACACCGGCTGTCGTAGTTTTTGCAGTCAAATTACTATGTGAACTTCACTTCTAACGTTCCGTCCCATGAGGATGTTGTAAATTGGACCTTGCCAAAGTGCACCTTAGCGATTTCAGCTGCTGCTTCTAACCTTGAAATTCAGCATGTACTAATTATGATGCACGTGGTATTAAATAGAACACTGCTTACATTTCCGAAATGAAAAATCTGATGAAAAGAGAGACATGTATATTGCTCCACATTGAACCAACAATTTCCGAGTAAGTTAATTCAACCTGATGAACATCAGCTAATCTCTCTTTAGTGCGCAGTGTTTTGATCAGTATTCACAATGTAGGTAAATAGCCTGTGAAATGGGTGAAGCAAGGTGCAGACGACTCGGCAATCGAAATATGTATGAAGCATGAAATATGTGGTGCTCCCTACAAATTCATTTGAATATGCTCTGATTACAAATTATGAAATCAGTGTAGCGCAGCCCGAAAAGGGCTTCAAAGACACACGATCACAAAAAAGATATTAGCTCGTTTTCGAGAAAGGCTGAGATTTTGATACAGCAGGATCTAGTCTTCGCAGCTGAAACGTCTGAGAATAGGATTTTATTAGCTACCCGAATATTAGTGGGCACCACTTCTTTCGCCATTTAAAGGCCCGTAAATGATTAGATTAGAAACCAGGAAATAAAGGAGAGGTGATCGATCGGCAAAACAACGTAATGTCGTGCATACTGGGACGAAATACTCAAATTTTTCACGAAGTCGTAATAACATTCGAGAATTTAGTCCGCTGCCTATAATCCCTGTCGAAAACGCCTTTTGACGGGGATAACAGCTAACACAGGAAAGGGGACTACAAGGATCACAGCGACCCCTTGGGCTAGTTTGACAGATGAACAGCTGACGCCGGGTGTTGCAAGCTTAAAGCGGAGCCCACTGAAACCGCAAATTCAAATTCAAAGGGAAAGGGAACAAGGGAATCGAAAACATTTCAAAAGCAGCAAAAAGAAAGCATAAAAACATAATATGCAACCGATTAGCCCACTTTTCTATACCTGACACATTGCGTACCGCGTGCGCCACGATGCGGCGCACGCAATGTGTTAAACTAGACTGGGATAACTTTAGCTGAGCCAAGTTTTGAACGGCTCCCTAACGAAAGAGTCATAGAGAAGCCAAGGCAAAACAAAATTAGTACACGCACTTGGGTTTCCCGTGGTTCACTGCAAAGCTAGTTCAAAATATTTCATCAAAGGTAGCAAAGAGCATGTTAGTGAAGCACGCAATCGAATGATTATTGACAATGGCATGCACTCATAAGCACCTACGGTAGGTGTTGTACACGACTTTAGAGCACAAGGATTTATCTTTCATCTGAAACTGTGTGCAATGCATGAATATTTGTGTGCTAAACAAACATCATCTACCACATAAAATCACTGAGTAATCCACATTCTGCGGTATAATCTATACAGATACTACTGGTAGTAGCAAAATTTGCCCACTATCCACCCCCGGCTTCCCCCCCCCCCCCCGAAAGAAACAATTTTTAGCAAAGAAGCTTTAAGGATAGACCTAATTCAGTGAGCGGGAGGAAACAGATAGATACCGTGAAAACCGCGAAAACTCGGACGCGCACTTACAATCTTACGCTCACATTTGATTGGGTCATTCCTTGTTGCAAATTAGCACGTTCCTGCCATTGCATCTACTCCTCCATCACCTCCTTCATCTACACTTCTACAAGCAAAAAGGGGGAGCACAGCGATTTAAGTTAAGGCGCCACATGAGGGGCGCTAACAATGATTCAAACTTTCCAAGTTGATCAATCCTTAGAGGTGGTCTGACTGAACGAATAATGAAATCACCTAACCCAATTGTGGTCGACAATTCAAAGGAATTATAAATGCTTCATCAGCAATGAAAGGCTACTGATTTCCTAACCAATGAATGAGATTACGTGGTCAACCCAGAAATCATTGAGCAATGGTGAACAGTGTTTAGCTTTCTAACTGAGATTGCCTAACTGTTGAGCACTGTGCGACCGTTCGAAGCATAGAAGAAAACTAAAAAATCAACGCTACATTACCTACGCTCAGTGAAGAAACTAATTTCATGAGAGAAGACCCTACGGAAAACTATCAAAATTCACTCATTCGCCCAAGAAACGACAAATGAACTAAAACTCACTTCCGCACAAGCGGTGGAAATAAGTAGTCGACTGTTTCGGTGGCCATTGATAAATAACTGCTCACATATCCTACAGAATCCGATCGACGTACACGACCAGAAGGGTCGATAATGAGAATTCGCGCTGGCATGACGTCAACTGCTCGATACGACGTAACATCCTTCAAAGAGAATATTGCCACAAATAAGCAAAGGTGCGCGGCAGCAGAAAAAAAGTATATCCGCATCGAAATCAAACTCTTGAACTAACCGTTTCGCGATTCCCAAATCCAGCAAAGAACGGTTGTTTTACAGGGAAGAGCTTTTTCAAATCGGTCAACGCTGCTATTTTGAATTCCTCAGGACGACGTTCGATCACCTCTCTGAAAAGAATGAGTTTTTACAAGATTAATGCCCAATATTCGCAAAAGTATGGCCAATGTCAAAGATATTGTTGTTTGCACAACATAATCCAATGGCTAAATCATAAGGGTCAGGCCATAATCACATGTGAAGTAGATTTGAATAGATTCCGATTTCTCCGATTTTGTTATTCAGCAGAACAAGACCAAGGATTAGACCCCTTTGATTTCAGTGAATTTATGTGAAAGATATACCGGCCGATCAATACGCATCTCTATTTCTAATTGCAGAATCGTAAATTGCGCGATAATGCGAGCTAATAGCGTTATTTTAATCAATACCACAGTTCTGCATTGAACGATTTTTTGAACACATATAGTCAAAAGCTCAAGATGGTAGAGGCTACCACGTCATTATGCGAAAAGACTAGTTCTTTCTATGAGAATGACACACCTTCTGAAAGCAATGAGCACACTTGTCGGTGACAGCAGCACCGGACCATCAGGCAGCTGTTTGCTGTCCTGAGCAATACTCTTCAGATATTGTTTCGTGGTGTGGCTTTGCCCAATGGCTCGAGATGACAAGTACACCATCTTGTAACTAAATAAAAGATAATATTGCTATGTAAAGCTTACGGACACCATGGTCCTTCACGTTTCGCCATAGAACCTATACCTCGTACTGAAAACTAACATGTTTAATTCGAAATAAAGGCGAGTTGAGAAAAAAACAGTAATAAGTACCCATTATTCTTGATTCGAGTGTACAATTCCGCAACTCCTGCATGAGCCCATGTTCCACCAATGGCCGGGATGACATGTCCAAGGACGTCGCTTTTTGTGATTGTTCCATCGATATCGGATATCACAATGCGTTCATACCATTTGTAAAGGTATATGTTACAGCTACACCACGACGTACCCTGAATATTGTGTGCTGTAGATCGTATAAGAACGCTACAGAACTGATAGATCGTACTATAATACTAACAAAAGTCAACTACTTTCGTATGAAAAAAGGTACCTGGAATTTAGTTGTGATACTAAATCGACATTCATTCGCTCCATAAACCAAGCCAAGGCTTCTCAGTTTTTCAGACGAGAGTCGGAGTGATAACATGTACGAAGGGCGTGATGACGGTCGAGGTTCATCTAACTCGTCCTCGCTCAAAGGACTGAAACAAGATGTACAGGATTACGGCCGAAAAGCAAGGCGGCTAGTTTGGTACATTTGGTGCAGCATCGAAGCAAATCACACTCACAAAATATCGTCGCTACTAACAGCACTTCGCTGATCGCTGGCATTACGAGTTCGAAGGTTGTCTGGATGTTCTACACTTGGAGCGACTTCCTGTGTGGGAGTCTAAGAAAAGCAAAAGTAAGACCGCACTGAATTCGCAATAATTTAAGACCTTACCTTGTCTGCGAAATTGCAATCATCTGACTGAGCAGTTGGGCTGGATGGTTGTGAGGTTCCACGAGAGGCATGACCACTGTCAATGCTAACCCTGAACAAAGTTAAAGTGATACTATCGGAATGTCACTTTGAGATCGTGTGGCCAATCTAAAGAAAACAAGGCACTAGTGCAATGCAACTAATACAACTAAATTAGGAAGTTACTACTATATTGCGCAAGAGCGCACTAATTAAAACATTTCAGATCTGTTAAAATCAATCAAAGGAAAAAGAAGAATGGCGATGAGAAAATAACTTACGCTGTGCTACCAGCCTTCCCCAGATATTTAGCTATTTTTGAAGGATCTGATGCAGCATCCGGGCTGAACAATTCGTCTAATGAAATGCCTTCCTCTGCTGGTGGTGCTGGAGCAGGAGACGAACGGTGTCCCCATGGGAACCACGTCCAGCCCGACGACTCACCCTTAAATTCAAGTACCATAGAAAGCAGTCAACAGAAACAACGTAACTACACCGACAATTAAAATTCGAAACATATAATTTTCTAGTAAAAAAGAGCACCATTAACAGCTACGAAATACGTACAGTAGCGGTCAAAAGTTTGGAAACTTTTTTATTTTTGATCTAGCGCGGCCGACACACAACGAAATTGTCCAAATTTAGATATTACATACAAAATCAAGTCCAGAATACGATGGGAAGAATAATTTCCAAAAATCTATAATCATATTTGAGAAATAAGATTTTTTCAAGAAATAATGGCGCGTCAAAAGTTTGGAAACTTTTTGTTTCCCTCATCATTATGATTCCTACTCTTCAATGTTTACTTGTTTCTGTTAATTTTAGTTCAACCATTGAGTAATGTGTAATTTCAAAATGAATTCATATGCAAAGGAAGCAGTTTTCCATGGGTGATCCTTTTTTAAACTTCTCTTCAATAGTCAGAACTGGCCGAAAAGATGGGTTTTCTATCGTGGAAATGACCCAATGCAGGCCTACCTCCTCACTGCCGCCTTCCTAAACCCAGAAAAAGAAGCTGTTATGAAGCGACCAAGTCGAAGATCTAAAGTCTAATTGAGTTCTACATCCCACGGAAGAACTGGCATGTCGCTCAACCCACATTCCAGTTAAAATCCCACCAAACAATGTGATTTAGTTCACAGTGTGCAGGGTTCGACTTAAAAGTCCTAAAATTATTTTATAATCAACTCCATGTCAATAAAAACGACGCTGACATAGAAATTCACAGCTACTCATCGAATAACTAATTTATCATGTAGATTCGAGAGCTATTTTGCCGAATTCGCTTTGGAATTGAGAAGTTTCCAAACTTTTGACGCGCCATTTCTTATAAAAATTCGTATTTTTCAAAAGCGAATCTCGTTTTCAAAAAATTATGTTGCTTATCGTAATCTACACTTGATTCTGTATATATGTGAATTTGGGACAATTTCATTGTCTATTGGCTACACTAGATCAAAAATAAAAAATGACCGCTACTGTATAATTATTAGGAATGTAGAGAAATGCAAATGGCACATGGTGTATTGCATCACTCAATACCAGCCATCTTCGGTAAGGGGATGAGAATGGAAAGGTTCGCGAGGAATTCCTACGAAAACTTAGAGCTTCTTTATTCTTGTGTCACTTCGAATGGGAATTGTGTTTTCGAAGTTTGTATCATAGGATTACAGCGAATGGTACCGACGTCCGCACTCCTCTAATTTCATTACCATGCTATTTCAACAAAAGTGAGCCATAAACGATGGGCCTCGACGAAATGAAGATGAAATTATAAAGTTCAAGATTAACAACAGCAAATTATTACCTTTGGCTTCAACGTATCTTCAGCCTTGCTCTGCTCCTGCTTAAGTTTGTTCTCCCTCGTTTCTGGAAGCTGACCCCATTTCCAGTCTGTCACTTCGCTTGCATGCTGAAATGAGCAACATGAATTACAAGAAGGCCCTATTTCAACAGAATTTTACATATTTTCACTAGATCATCAATTGTTGAACAATTATCCTTACAGGCTCGGGAGTATTTCGATGTCGATCCACTTCTGAATCGGACAAGGCACCATCAGCTATCCGGTCAACATCCCGTGAATCAAGAAGCGAACGTGCTGGGCTCGATGAAACTGATGAACATTCCGAATCAGAAGATTCATTCTTAAAGAAACGTATTAATCAGTTAGGAAACTTCTTAATGAGATCTCTTTTGAAAGAGTGAACCAGAAAGTACAAAACGCTTTGATAAATTGAAAAATAAGAAATTCCTTCAGAAACAGCACAGGGTTACTGCACTCACTTCTATTTTGATGCTGATAGGTTGGAAGGCAACACGACTTTTCTTCCGTCGTTGAGTTGGAGCTTTCGCAGGCACAACAACATTCTCCACCGACCTTTCACGCTTCAACGACTTGTCAAATGCTTGCGATTTCGAATGCCGCAGAGGGCGCGTAGACAGTCTGAACAAGTTTACACTAGGCTGAGCCTTCTTCATAAAACAGCGCTATCACTGCACATTCTTATAGTGTGGTAATTAAATTTTGTATTGTCGTGACTCTATGTCGAATAGAGAGCGAAATGTTGCATGCACCCCAAGGTTAGAAACGGCAAAAGTTAGCACGCAACTTGAATTTTGCGAATGTTGAATGAACAAGGAGAGGCGTCAAATAATATGAACTTTGGGTACGGTTTTCTTGTTTACAAGCAGAATAAACAAATAGGAAAGAACGAGTGATGGCTAATTAGCAATAAGAGGACCTGAACATTTCTCTAGTCACGTACTTCACAGAACTTAAGCGCACTTCTTAATGAAGGCCAAGCCTTGACTGAATGCGAAATTTTCTGAATTACTCAAAAAATGGGTAGAAACCATCCTTTATTTTGCATTAGATACTGGAAAAATACTAAAATGTTAAACGATATTCGCAATCTGAAAAAAGGCGGACGAAGTTGACGGCTTGTAGCCAACTATGGATTTACTATCAACTGAATGAGTCATAAATGAGTGAACCTAGAAATCAGGAGCAGACTCACTTCCTTGGAGGAGTTTTCCTAGGTTTTCCCTCAATATCCGAATGATAGCCATTTTTCTGGTCAGCTATGGAGTGCAAATCAGGAAGGGACCTGGAAATGCAGAAGTCATGCATGTATAGAAATCTACAAAAATATTTTTTCACAGGTAGACACACCGATTTCTTCTAATGCTGAATACTGACGAATTGAATGGCAAATTCCTTTTCCTCTGTTGAACTTCCAATAAGGACTGTCTGAAAACGGAAGTCTTATAACTTGCTTGTCACCTGTAATCGATCTTGACCCAATAATCTAATCAATAAACACCCACTCTTGCTTGGGCTCTTGCACATCCTTTTTGCTTACTGGCTCGGGGCTTGCGTCCCCAATTGCAGCCAATTTTCGATCATTTTCTGTACCAGCTTTCGTTTCACCCAGGATTTTTGCACTTTCCGTTAGGACCTAAACGTCCGCTTGAAAACTGTTACCTTCTTATAACATTCAGAAAAGTCCACAAACGAACGAAAAGAGGTACTTGTTAAGCGTGAAAGCCAACATACTTGATCAGTGGATTGCGCTGACGGATTTCCTGGTTCAGGTAGAGGAGATGTGAGCAGGTACGACGGTGTCTGATTAGGATCCGCTTCCTCCACAAAAAACGCAACACCGCTTTCACCCAACTTCATTTTCAAATCGATTTCTTCGCCATTGATTTGAATATCGACGTACTGAATGTCACATCCCGATTAGACAAAAAATTTTCAATACAGCGAAATTTGAACTGAGCAACAGTGCGTCATCGAGTTTGTTGTGAAAATGTAGCGCATGCAACTTCTACTACAGAACGCATTGCTTTTCTGTCTCGTTAAAATTCAGCCAACTTGTCATCTCGGAGATTTTAAGCGAAACAAATGGATGTCCCTAATCTAAGGCGAAAAAGCTGCTCTGCAAATGGTCGATTTCAGCAGACTTGAAGAGTAGTTTGTGCAAACAAAAAATTCAAAGTTTACAGCAAATGAAACGCAAAGCAAAAAGACGTAAAATAAAAAGAAAAATTCACCTTATCACTATGACTGAAGACGCCATACTTCCCAAACCTTACGTGAAATGGGGTGGATTTGTACTCGCCATCTGGCTGTTCCACCACGATCACATCGATAGCACCTAAAAATTTCAGGGAAATTGTCTTATAAAAATTGTCTCAAGTAGCACATGTGGCAACGGCTTCCAAAAATTGCTATGAAGATTGAATGTGATGCTCTTGATGCTGCCTGATGCCACATATTTTCGAAATTTTGCAATTACGACATGCTCACTCGTAAGAAAGGCTTGAACACCAGATTTTCACATCGATGTTGAGTTATAGTAACATAATTCGCCTTATTCTGAGGCCGCATCCGTACCCATCCTTTTCTACCCACTTGTGCTTCCGATTACATCACCTAGCGCGCTTCACCTCAAACAGCGTTCAGTGATATATTCACCATAGCTTACAATAAACAACTCGAAATGGCAATACCTGCCAGAGCTTCT